GGGGGAAATGAACCAAGGGCAGAGCAGCCAATAACGAGGAGCTCTTTGGACAATTGGCAAGGGACGTTGGTCTCAAAGGCGCTTCTTAACATAATCACTGTGATCAACCACTGAGTTAAAAAATACCGAAAACAATGACAGACGTATCTGGGGGAAATTTCCATTGCCAAAGTGTCAATAGAATGAGAACTGAAGGGTCATCCCCGGTGTAATATAATTTATTCGTTTTCTTTGTCTTGTAGACTATTGTCAGGGTTAGGTTCATTGTTAAGGATGTTTTGTTTTCTTTGTGTTACGTCAGCTGTGAGTAGTAAACTATATTACACCCGAGATCAGCCGAACTGAAGGGGGATAAACAAAGGCTTAGCTGTATGTTCAGTTGTTCTTTTATTTATGTATGATTTTCAATATTCCTGGAAGGTTTTTTTATGATTTTAAGCAGTTGTACGTTCTTTACCCTTTCCGTAATTCAATGCGCACCACCTGCGATGAAGGACTGTCCAAAACCTTCATTTTAGCTCAGTAGGTAATTTTATGATGGGTGTCGTAACACCTTACATGTACTTTGAAAATTTGTTCGTTGGGTATAATATTTTTCTCAGATGAAAATAATGAAGGGGAATGGGAATTGTTTCACGTCACAACAATAAACTGCTGAAGAGTTTGAGGTTTACTGTGAATGGTGTATTGTAAATATTTAGTCACCGACGCAGTGCAACAACACGTATCTCTCTCTTAACCCTATTAGCCCCTATAGAGTGGTTTTCGTTTGAGTGTCGTAAAACCAAAACCAAAGTAATTACTCTGGCCAATCACAAAGGACACAGACAATACACTGAACCAATCAAAACTCGAAGTAATTACATGTGGCTGACGCAAAGCGCGGGAAAATGCATGCGAGCGCGTCACAATTGGCTTTGGTTTTACTTCTGATTGGATGAAAAGGTGGCGCGAATCTTTTAAGCCAATCGCATCGTGTAGAAAGTCCAAAACCAATTACTTTTCGACACTCAAATGAAAACCGCTCTATCCACAAACAAATACTCCAGACTGTTCTCCCTACATTTCCCTAACGAATTAATTGGGAGAATTTATTGGAAGATCAAAGTATTTTCCCTTGAGTGTTTATTTCGTTTATTCTCTTAACCTAATCTTTTCCTTTTACATTGAAATTGTTAGGAGAAAATTGAAGGGTAAGTTGGGCACCGCTGTTAATCGAACAGCAGCTCAGACGGAATGGCGGAACCATTTGATTTTCCAACTGGATTTTCCGCTTTTTCCATGTAAGTGAAGTACCCTTGAGATGCTAACCATTTACAAAAACCCGGCAACCGGTTGGAAATCTCGTGCATAAAAATTAACTAAATTTGAGCTTTGTGGAAGGTCCCACAATGAGTATATCCGAATTACACTCTTGCAGGAGCCGATTACTTGTCCAAGTAATCGGCTCCTGACCCTTGATACAAGAATTTTTTTTCGGGCCAGGCTGAATATTCCTATTGTTCTGCCGATTTTAGCCTGAACATTTTCTTGTATTATTGAATTATAATTGAAAAAAGAAAGAATTTATCATATCCTTTTAGCGGTTGGTTCATTTTTTTTTTCATGTATACTATAGTTGTGTATTTCATGTATCGTTCATCGAACTGTCATTAGCACAGAACATTTGGCTGTAATCAGTGCACGTCTCTTCTTTTTGTTGGGTATTTTTTCCCTGGGAGGAAGCAATAATTTGATACGGCTAAGTTAAAAGCATATTTTTAGATTTTCATCACTCAAAGTAATCATCCTTTTCGAAATCTCAGCCTCGCGTTTATTCTTAAAATTTTGCACATTTCAGCCTCGATAAAAAAAGAGTGTAGCTACAGAGACCAAAAGGACTGGAAACATTGTGTCGCGTAAACTGATCGTTGAAACTTCCCAAACGGAATGGCACAAACCATTACACTGACACTCTATATAACGGTAGGGCATGAGCTGTGTTCACACGTCGCGTCTGGGCATGGCGCCCGAGTACGCTACTTGCGGACCTCCTGTGTGAACACACCCTTTTTTCAAGTACAAACGCCATAATTCGACCACGGTACCGGTGCCCGAGTATATGTTCAAGTCCTTGTACCTGGAAGTATAAAACAAGACACCGGGTCCCTGTTAATTCTGAACCAGTCTACTGATTTAAATGCCCATAAATCCATGCCACGCTTACGTTTGAAAATGGCGTCTGACCAAATATCCACACAGTTACATATCGGGTACCCTAGATGCTAGATCACGAGCTCCTCATTTTATCTCGGGATAGTGCAGGGAGCGAAACACGTGAGCCTGCGTAGCAGGCGCTTGGAAGTAGTGGGCACAAGAAAAAACGAGCGCGCGAGGAGACACGCGTGTTTCCCTCGCGCGTGCCCGTTCTCTCTTTCACCCACTACGTCCAAGCGCCTGCTACGCAGGCTAGAGCCTGCGTGAAAATCAAATCAAGCTACGCGGGCTCGTCCTTTCTTTAAATCACGTGATCAGCCCAGCATACATTCCCCTTTTTTGCTCGGGGACAAGGTCTAAATACCAGGTCAGGGGCGGATCTAGGGGGAAGGTGCAGGGGGTGTGCCCCCCCCCCCCCCTCCCCCTGAGATGACCTGCGGTTTTCTTATACAACTGGTATTCTGCCAAAAAAAACTCTGTGGTTTATTGGTGTTGAAGTAGAGCCAGAGACGAGTGCACCCCCTCCTAAAAAAAATCCTGGATCCGCCCCTGCAGGTTATGTGGATTCCCCCAAAACTCCCGTTCAAAGAGAGGTTATGGTCGCGTTGGAGGCAATCAAAACACCTGTTAGTAATATCAACGATGAAAATTTTATTTATTTTTAACTATTTTCTCATAATTTGTACAAGGATGAAGTAAACGGAACAAGAACTAAACATTTTCGCAGTTCAACTCAACAAACGAAGAAAACAAAACGGTTCCTTCCTAACTCCCTATGGTAAACGGTTCGCAACAATGTCCATCATTCTTTTTTTAAAACTGAGGTCCATGACGACCAAGATGAAGTGCCTGTTAATTCGTTGCCGTATCTCCAGGACACCTAACGTGAATAAAACATTGTGGTTACTACCGTTGTGTTATCTCCAGTAAGCAATGGCCATTGAGCCGTCTTCTTATTGCAAGGACTGGAACCAAGTTTGTTTTCAGCGGAAACTGGTCGGTCACTGTCAAAACACCTTCGAGAAGTTTCGGAACCTGACAACGTGTTTCCGGTTCTGGTCATTCACCAAGACCATGGGGGCTGTACAGGTGCTCTCCATTCCACCAAAACTTTCGAAAATTTGCAAACAGCACCAAATGGAACAGAAATTTTCCCGCGAGGTTTTAGAAACTGTTGAATTTGCGAAATGCGAACCATTCAAGGGAAAATTCTTGAAATTCCGGGAGAGAAGTTGAATGGAAAGAAAACTTCAGGAAAACATTTCCGAAAATTTGGGTAAACCTGGCCAGCGCTGTCCTCTTTTTTGGAAATTTTAGATAATGTTGTTCCATTCGCTACTGGAAGTTGCCGAAAATTCAAACCGGATGTTAATTGGTTGAATGGAAAACGCCCCATAATGCACTTTGTTTAACCCCCAAAATTTTACATAACCATCCTTTCTCCTGGGTATTCTGTTTTCACTCACGTGGCCAGCATCTATGCAAATTTATTGGAACAAAAGAAAGCATTTACATAAGAAAAGAGTTCAATTCCCACAGGACTGGTTTGGGACACAAACATGGCTGCCGTTTTATTGTTTTGGGACACAAATATGGCCGCCATGACGTCATTTGAAATTCACAATTACAGTCGTCCCAAGCGAGATCGAAGACAATAGTTATGCAAAATTTTGGGGTGTAAACAACGTGCATTATGGTCTGGGTGAAAATGTGAATTGACTGCATGAGACGCAAGTCAACCGCTTGGAGACAAGACAACACAAGAGGGACAAACGGTTTTGCTGTTTCCTGTAAGGTTTGTTGAGCTTTAATACTGGAGTATGAGAGAGATGTTTATCGTATTGTAAATTGTAAAATTATTGCTATATTCTCTGTAATTTTTTCGGTTGAATCCCTCTTGCACTTGACAATTAGTTCGGTATTGTTTCAATCAGTTACGAGTTTCACTGACGCGTATACTTTTGTTGTATATTTCATTTCACTTCTTAAAAAACATCTCAGTAATATGCATCATCTAAGCGAGAGAGGCGGAAAAGATCGCTAATTTTCCACGAAATTGATCCAATCCTCCTTCATACGGTCTGAGCCAAATGAAGCTTTAGGCATCCAGGTATGCATCTCACCAAGTATTCACCAAAATGGAACCACATTCTGGTGGACTTTATCAACACCATGGGTCGAATTTAATAACTGAACTGATAAATCCGTGACAGACTGGAACTTATACTTCAACATGAATGCAGTCTCTCTCGTTACTTTCGATGGGTGCGGGTGGGCCGTTTGTATCCCACCTCAGCGCGCAGAGATGTGTATAAATTGTACTAAAACGTGGCCTACTAGGCGGCAAAATATCCCAGCATTCCGTCATTAAAACGAAGACACTGTTCGGACAGTCGCTCGGGCAAGGAAGCAACACATGTTCTCGGATACGTTCCATAACTTCGTCGTCCGTGAACCCAAAATGGGGCTTGGTACCAAATGAAAATATCTCCCATAGCACCACTCCGAAGGACCATATATCAGTCTCTACTGTGAACCTATAATTTAGCACCCCCTCCGGTGCCATCCAACGGAGGGGCATAGGGGGTCTATTAGCAGAACGATAATAGTCGCTTGAAAAAGGATTACGCGATAACGCCACGTCCGTTATTTTCACGGTCATACGAGGCCCGACCATACAGTTGCGAGCTGCCAAGTCTCCGTGAATGTAATTGTGCTGCGAGATGTAGTTCATTCCCGCAGCTACTTGAATAGCAATCGATAACTGCTCGTAGTAGCTCAAAGTTTCTGGATCATCGTCGTCCTCATCGGGGCTCTCTAAAGGAGAGTTATCGACAAGATAATCATACAACGAGCCGTATTCCACGCACTCGTAAAGTATACACGTCGGAGGCCCATTATAACAAACTCCGATAATACTGATGACATTTGGGTGGCTAAACTTGGACCAAGTCTCCGCCTGACGCAGGAAGCTCTCACGGTTATTTGAGGACGAGCTATTGCGAAGAATTTTGGCGAGAATGGGTCGAGTTGTTTGTCCACCATCACCTTTTTCCACTACTTCCCCTCGGTAGAGTTTGCCAAATTCTCCTTCTCCCAAATCCTTTAGGAATCTGACCGTCTCACGTCGCATCTCTTTGATCTGGAAAGAAAAACCAAAAAGCCTTAATCGGGTATTCGTCATGTGGGATGGAGCCAAAATTAACTGAAAATCACTAAAAACAAATAACAACTCAAGGCAAAAGCATGCAACCATAACGTAAATACGACCACCGCGAAGCGCGAAAAGCAACTATAACCGAGCGCGGGAAAGAAATACAGCCAGTCGCGGCCAAGAAGGCTTTCCAATTTTCTTCCGAATTCAGTTCTTGAGATTTGGAGGGATTTGGGTGGGCATTTTCAAGGTTTTATGTTTGTTTGTTACAACGGGTGAAACGCTTGAAACATCAAAAGGATCTTGAGGGCTTTGTTTGCAGGGCAGTTTTACCTTCATTCCTGACATCTCTGTCAGTTCAAGATGGCGGCCTCGTAACCTGTGGCTCACCACAGGTTAACCAGTCTTTTCAATATTACAGGATTTTTAGACTGATTTTTAGGAGTTTTTGTGGGATTTCTGGAAATGAAACCGGAAATATTTTTAAGAAATCCAGGAAGGACTTTTTACGCCATTTTTCCGGATTTTTATGGCTAAGCCTCTTTGGAAGCAACTAAAGCCATTCGCGGTAAACGACTGGGGCCAAGCGCGAAAAATTCCAAGAAAACTCACCAAAGGTTTGCCAATAACAGGAACAAGAGGAGTAGCAGCCGCTTCCCCGGCCTGATATATGATCTGTTTATGACATCTCCAGCAGATGAAAATCACCACCAGAGAAAACACAATACCAAACACCAGGCATGGAATGACCATGTAAAGAATGCTCACAACTTCAACTGGCGGCGTCTCCTCTGTGGAGTTACAAAAAAGATTTTTATTGCTTAATAGGTAAGTAGCAAGAGTTTTTACCTCGCAGCGCGCTGTTAGTCATTGGCTACTTCAATCAAGTACGACTTATGTCTTCCTGGTTTTATAACTGAAAAAAATCACTTGAACGTCGTTCATTTCAGTGCTTCCAGGTCGCGAAATATCCTTGTACAGATTTCTTAGGACAACTTTATTATGACCGGCGTGTTTTTTTTTTTAAGCAGTAGTTCGGCTCGATCCACTTTCGTTGCTATTAGTACAAGAAGGCAAAGCGCTTCTTTGCCTGTAATGTAGTGAAACGACATCAAGACCTTTTGAAAAAGGGGACGGACAGATTTAGCTTACCACAACGTGGAATATTACAGTAGTCGAACTCCGTGTTCTCGTCCGTTGTAAAACACCAGGGTTTTACTTTCTGTCCACCCGGATTCCTGCAATAATTATGTCCACCGCCAATTTCAGGATGATCCTTAGGCGACAGAATGTGGAAATGAGGTGTGGTCGAGTTCCATGCCTGACATACAAGGCCCTTCTCAGTAACGCTCACGCTTGCATTGAAGTTCTTTCCTGTCCCAGTGTAACATCCAGTCACTGGTAAAGCTAAGGATTAAGTGAAAAGGACATCAGCACGACTACAGAAACTGCCATATACTTGAATCCAGTTAATATGGAGTCTAAAGGAACATGACGAAGTGTCCGCCGCATTGTTAACCCTTTAAACCCTAAGATCAAAATTGGAATTCTCATTTTTTGCCCCTATTCATTTTCTACAGAAGTAGTGGGGAGAAGTTGATAAAATATCAAGCAAATTCATCTTGTGTGATCATGTCCGTACTTCTCATGACCACTCTGTTTTACAAAACAGTGATATTACAAGGAGAAATTTGATACTGACTCCTCTTAGGGCTTAAAGGGTTAAACTGCGATCAGGCAGTTCTTCTTCCCTTTTTGTTTTTCGCGCTATCCCTGAAAAAAGAAAGCCTGATCGCGGGTTGCCGCACTGTCTGGATTTCGATGTTAACTGTCTCTCAGAACCAACGCCATTAACACGTGATTTATCAACAAAAGACTAAAAGCAAATGGCCTGCGCTTGCTATGCCGGCTTACAGCAACAGAGCGATGTGTGATGTCTTCAGCGCGACAAACTAAATAAACCTGCGCTCGTTCAAATAGCTTCGCGCGAAGTCTAAAAAAATTTCAAAAGCGGCAATGCAATCACTTACAAAATGATCCATGACATTGTTTTGCATTGTCAAGTCAGTTTGTGGTTCAGCCAAACGGATCAAAAAAGTTGAAATAATATTGGCCTATTCTTTTACGTTCTCAGTGGAAGGATGTATAGAGTGCGCAGATCGCCAATGTCCCTAAAGCCACGATAACACGGGCCACTAACCTTTTTCGAGAGCAAGTTAGCGAGTTAACCCTTTAAACACTAAGATCAAAATTGGAATTCTCATTTGTTGCCCCTATTCATTTCCTAAGGAAGTACTGGGGAGAAGTTGATAACATTTCAAGCAAATTCATCGTCTGTGATCATGTCCGTAATTCTCATGACCACTCTGTTTCACAAAGCATTGATATTACAAGGGGAAATTTGATGATGATCACTCTTAGGGCTTAAAGGGTTAAACGCGCGAGGACGCTGAAACTCGCCAATGTGCTCCCCATGCGGGTATTCGCTTTAAGGGATTTAACAAACAAGAACATGAAAAATAAGAGAATTTTCAAGAGCGGCACTTACCTTTTTCTCTCTTAACTGCGCCTTTTTCGAGAGCTGGTTTTTCAGGTTTTGGAGGCTTCGGGCTCTTTGGACTCTTCGGGTTCTTCGGGCTCTTCGTAGTCTTGGTTTTATTCACATTCAATTTTATACAATTCTTGCCTTCCGCCGTATCCGCGCGAGGTAACGAGGAACACTCTGGAAACAGAACCTGCTGCAGCGTAAAGCTTTTTGAAATAAGATACTCCTCTGGGCAGATACTTGTACGAAGAATTTCGCACTCCTCATAACATATCTGCCTTGGCTTCGGAACAGACGATGAGGAGTCGCAGCTTGGGAACTGGTAATGACATAGGAGCGGCCTGACAAAAGGACGACATCTTTCGCTGATTTTCTTAAATTCCCGTATATTTGCATAAGCATTGCTGACTTTTTTCTCTATATTTTCCAGTCTCTCAAAACTTCTTACATAGATAGAGCGCCCTTTTAGAAGGTTGTAACATACAGAGCCATTGTATGGGACACAGCTTCCAGTCTCTGGTAGCGACGGAGGTGTTGGAATATCCCTGGAGACAAAGAAAAAACGAAATTTTAAAAGTTAATAGAAAGGTTATGCAACTCATTCATTCGGCAAAAAACAGCTTCTCTCGCCCCATGAAAGGTAATCTGGATTCCAAAAATTTTTCCTTCTGGAATGTGGAATCCTGCAAACGATTGGAATCCCGAATCCAAGTTCCACTGAAAAAGAATCCAGAATCCGGTACCATGAATCCGGAATCTACGGCCCGGAATCCAGAATCCGACACCTTTTTGGATTCCCTTACTGGAGGAAGTCTGCTACACAGCCGTTTTTAGTGTTGTCATGCAACGCTCCATGTTTGTAGGGAGGAGCGTTGCGTGACGGCACTAAAAACGTCCGTGTAGCAGACTATACAAGAGGCGGCTTCTCAGGTAAAGTCAAAGTAAAACAAAGAATTGAAAGTCACTTGCGAGCAACACTGGCTACATGTGTTTCCCAAATTTCTCACTGGTTCGTTGTTGGAATTTCTTTTGGTTCTACTTTCCTGTTGTTTCCAATGAAAGTAGCCAAGGGAAATGCTCACAGAAGCCAGGGGAAAGTCTCCAGCCCTGGGCCCTTAGTAACAGCCCTGATATTTAGAGCCAACTTACAGATCGCTGTGTGTCGATTCTTCCAACTGTCCATGCTTAGGTTTACTGTCTGGAGGATTGGACTGTTTCGAATTATCAGGCAACAGTTCTGAAATGAGGGGAAAACCGTTAACTGACAGAATTAGTGTCAGCCCCAAATTCCCCTAAATCTTACTGGGTCTATGGTTTCAATGTAAATCAAATATATTGCAGCTTATAATATATTGCTACCACTGCCCTATCCAAGTAACACAGGATCAACATTTTGGTTTTAAGTGAGCCTTGATGCCTATTAATTTCTCCAAAAGCACACCAGGTCTTGATAAGCTTGTTGTTTTTTGTTGTCGTTGCTGTTCAATGGTTTGTTTGTTTTCTTAACATGTTATTATTTTTTTCCTCGGTCTTATCTGTTCAGTATTAATCACTGGCTTTCATTTAATTTACCTTTATTTGCTTGTTTCATATTTTATAATAATTTATCACAAAATATTAGAATAGCAGGGTACAAAGAAAGTCATTGTTACAGCTTGTCATTCGGGCAAGCTAAAGCTAGCATTTCACTAGCACAAACATCATTTCAACTAGCGCTCAAAATTTTTTGATGAGCAGATTGATTTCACAGCTCTTCTGTCAACTGAATTCCTCAAAATACTTCACTTGCCCAATCAGGCAAGTTAAGAACAGAATTCACTAGCCCAATAGCAAAATCCAATAGCCCCGGGCTATCGGACACTACTTTCTTTGCAGGCTGAATAGCAAAATAAAGGAAGACATTTCCATGTACCTTGATCAGTAAATGGTGTCATAGTAGTCGAACTTGAATGTGGCGTAAGAGGAGGAGAAGTTGCATCTAGAACCAAAAACAATGGAAGTATGTTAGTGCGATTAAAACAATCACATTGTTGTAGGTGACCAGAGGAGCCCGCAATCCTAATCTCCAGGCCCCAGTTGTTCAACGCTATCCATCGGACAAGTCACTAACCAGTGGATAAGTATTAGGAGAACCAATTGCGCTGTCCACTAGATAGTGATTTCTCCCCTGAATAGCGTTATCCAGCTTTTGAACGACTGCGGCCAGGTTGCTATTGGCATGTGTGCTCCTGTACATGTCATGGAAAACCTGTAAAAAGTCATGAAATTTTACAATATTATTTTCCAGGCCTGAAAAGTCATGGAATTTAATTGTCAGTCCTGGACTTGGCCTTCCACAAAGCGTGATTATTTTTTTAAGCTTGCTTGCACCCTCTATCATTGGTAATCCGATGACCTGTGTACTGTCCTCCTAACACGTGAAACTTATGCAAAGCACTGTGTTGAAACAAGAGCGTTTTGACCTGCCATTGATCTTGCCTTCACTCCCTAACCTTCAATTATTACTAGTTCATCTCAGAGGATAAGCAGGAAGGGGGGAGGGAGGAGGGACTAGCCTGCAAATACCATAATCTCTCTTCGCTCCAAGCCCCTAAGGACATTTTTCAGAAGAGACGTTTTCCCATGAGAGGGCAGGCAGTAATTGTGATTGCATAGGGTCTCTATTAAAGAATACAATCATACCAGTTACGGTCAAGAAAACCTGCTTGCTCACTGTCCCTTCTGAATTATTTGCTACACAACTGTATGCTCCCTCATCACTTAGTTTCACAGGACGAATCCTCAGTTTTACACCCCAGCTCCTACAATGCCAAATAAAAAATATAATTTGTTGAGCATACAATGCCAACACAAAATATCACTCCTTGAATGTAGGAAATGTAACTTATACCAAGTTAAACTCCAAAATGCTACAGCTAGTGGTTTCAATATCTTTGTAGCAGCTCAATGTCTGCTGGGGAGCCCAGGTAAGTTGAAGGGCTTGAAGTATTTTCCACAGTGATCAAATTGCTGAAATTCATTGAGCAATTAAGCATGTTTCGCATCTAAGCCACTATCTGCTGATTTATTCCCAGCCCTCCTTCATTTTCAGGTAGGTGTGTACAGTCTATGTTTTATTTCCAGCAATCTGTTTTGTCGCCGCTCACTGGTTGCCATGGATACAATGGCTTGTGTCTCTTACGCACTTGGCACCACCACCCTTAAAGGGCACCTACATCCAACCTCACCTACTGCCGATGAGTTCAATCAAAGATAAAGGTCACAAAAATAAAGAAAAAGATCAGCAAGTAAACCTCCAAGTTGTGACCATTTTGGTTGCCATGGAGTGTGAAATTTTTCAGAGCTGGCATTACTTGATCTGTGAAAAAGTCTCCCTAGACCGAAATAGTTGGTTGCCAAATGGCAACTGAGCAGAAACGTAAATTTGAAGGGCTGGCAAGTTAAAAGGGTCTTGACTAGAGCACTGGGCTCCCTTCAATTTTGCTTAGAGCATAGCCTTGCACAGGAAATGTAAAGAGATCAAGAAGTGGAGAAATCACTTACTTTGACACAATAGTAAATGATCCACTTCTATTTCTGATTGGCTTTCCATTCCTGTACCACGTTACATTTGGTTCAGGCTTGCCACTCACATAACACCTAAACACTGCCCTGCCACCCTCCACCACAGTTTGATTGGAGAGCTGTGAGCCAAACACTGGTGCTGTTAAGATAAAGAGTACCATTATACAGGGATCCATATTCCCAGTCGTCCCAGGCAACTACAATCTTGTACAGACAATTAAGATAACTTCAAAAGTCACCCTTCGGACAAGTGAGGTTTTGCTGAACCACAGAATCTTTTCAAAAACTCCAATATCATATATACATTTTCCCTGTGTTCTGATTTCTTCTCATCCACTTAAAACTTTTAGAATAATGGTGAATAACAAGCAGCTTTTGTCTGCAAGGAAATTGTAAGTTTGGGTGCCATTGTGATGGCTACTTGTAAAACATAAATAGACTGTGTTTAGCCTAGGCCTGTAGCCTGTTGCACTTAACAGTTAACCCTTCTTAGTAACTATAATGGAAACAAAATGCTAATCAAAAATGTTCAATTTGCACACAATTTTTTCACCATTCTTTTATATAATTCTGCACTTTTGTCTGGGCAACCCAAATTGTAACCGGCCTAGTATGCCATCAGGTTAATAATACTTGCCCGGCTGACAACTCTGAGAAAAAAATTAATGAATGTGGATCCCTGATTATAATATGCTTTCACTACAAAAAATTGACACTGTATTGGCAGGCAATGTGTAATCTAAATGTAGTTTCAGCTTTGAGCAAGTGCTCAAAATGTCACAACAAAATTAATACTGTAATGGCAGACCCAGTGTAATCTGATGTAGTTTCAACTTATAGTATGTTGTCAAATTTCCACAACAATGAAAATATTTTTTTGCCAAGTCTTAAGTTGTCTCAAATATGTGGCCAAAAGGTCAAAATTTACTTATTTAAATTTAAGAATTCCACAAATTATACTGACTGCCAAACAAAAGCACTGTCAAAGAGGCTCCAGATAAACAGAAAAATCATAGGACTTTATCTACAGACTGGAAAACAGATTTGTTTTTGTCTTTTTTAAAAAAAATGACATACAAATCACGTGAAGTCTTCCTGCAAGTTCTAAAAATGCAAACCATAATAATTCTTCTTACTGTCAGAAAAACCTGAAATATTTCAGGAATGTTTATTGTTATGTAAATCCCAACAAAGATTGGAACATGTGAACAAGCCACCAAGCCACAAACTAATCACATTTAGCTATCTCATGTGACTGACTTTTCCCTCTTGCAACACAATACATTCCAGAAATATTTTTGTGTGGAGTGGTACGGGCATACACTTTTTGCCTCCTAGCTAGTAGCAAGACCACATAGCCAGGGTTCAGTTATCGAAAAATAGCAAACAAACAATATTACAAGGAAGGAAAGACAACAAAACAAAAAAGAATATATACAGTAATCTACATACCGTTGCAATCTGGGCAAGTCTTGGTGTGATTAGAGCTGGAAGAAACAAAGAAACGTAACTGAAATATTTGATTTAAAGGAAGTGGCCAACTATTTTATTATAAAAAATTAAAAAAATTATTTTTCTAAAAAAAAAAAAAAAAAAAACTATTTTATAAAGAAATTAGCCACCATGCCTCCCTTCCCTACCATAAAACCAGCTGGCGGTCAATAAGATTTCAACTTAACCCTTTCACTACCAGAGTGAATGTTGGAGTCCCTTAAGGGAATATTAACTTTGAGTCCATGGACAAAATCCTATGTTGTGACCATTCAAATGAAACCTCTCTGCCTGTGCTTTCAAATGGTGCTATTTGTTTCCAAAATTTTACAAAACAAAATTTGGGAATTTTTGTTGAATTATTTTGCCCATTGCAACACTTGGCACTGAAAGGGTTAATGGGTATAGTATGTGAATTGGTACAGTCGTCGACTCCTGATAATTCGAACATTCAAGGGAAATAGAAAAAAGTTTGAGTTATCGGGAGTTCGAGTTATAGAAGGTAGAATTTTATATAACATACAAGAGTAAGTAAGCTTCGCAATGATGCACTTTACACATTTAGTAATTTTTTTCAGGCAAATTTATTGTGAACACACATAGTAGCACTTAAAGAAGGTAAAACAGAATTTCCAAAAGGTCACTAACAAGATTTACTGGTCATGCTCCTAATTTGCTAGAGGTTTTCAGAGTACAAAATTCAGTATTATTTGCTCATAATTTATTTAACCCAAACATTCTCTATCAGTTTTGTAATGGTTGCACTGTTAATCATCATGAAATTGTAAGCTGCTACATAGAGTATCCATCTCCTGAATTGTTTTACCAAAGGCCATAAAATGTTTATTGGTGTCTCTGTGAGCAATCATGGTAAACTGTTAGCAAAATTGCGGCAGTCAGTCTAAACTGGGCCTTTTCATCTTCTGTTACATAACCCTCATATTGGCCCTGAAAGTTTCCCTTTCTTTATTAGAAAAAAAGAGAGAATTTGCAAGCTTTCAAAAATGAAAAAGCAACTTCTGAAGGACTATCTTGATAACCATACTAAATGGTCGCAAGGAAGGAGTTTTTCCCGCTAAATACCGTTTTCGTGCCGAAAAGGATAAAAACACTGCATGAGGCTTTGGAAAAAGCTCACCAGGAAACGGACCAATACCTTTCACATAAATGCTGACGTATTAGGATTGATTCTCAGACAAAACAATACAGCCACCTTATGCAAGAGAAAGAACAACATAATATAGTCCAGTTCGTTCTGAAAAATCAATTTTTTGACTAAAAAGATCGCTACAAGTGCGCTCCCTGAGACATACATATTTCCAATATCGTGATTCAAGACTACAATAAAATAGAGCACTTGCATTCCGTGAATATTGAAAACAAGCGCGAAGATCAAAATAAAACCCAACTGATACTGAAACAGCAGGGAGCAGGATTTGGTTGATCCAAGTCCAAAGGGAAATTTATCAGTGTCACGAGAATTCATTTATGATTCTTTCATTGCATTTTAATTGACAGGAAGAACGCGGTCGCAAATCTAACACGGGTCAAACGATGTACTAGAAGACTATCACAGACGTTCGTTATATTGTGCTTTTTATGGAGCGATTCAAAACACGTCCATCGTTCTTACTTCCTTCCCAAAACCGCTAATATCGCCTTGAAAAGGCAGAATCCACTTGAGCTAAATCGAAAGCCTGGGTTTCCGACACAAATTTCTAGAACGCGAACTACAAATCGACGATAATGTAAACAAGTTTATGGAGAAGAAACTAACACATGCAAATTTCTTCTACGGAACGACTTATACGTTAATTTTTGTCTTTGTTCTTCACATTTACACTTCAAATAAGAACAATGAGGTCTTCCGTGCGGCACATTCTAAAACAAACTATTCAATGAATCAGGGCTAGAATCAAACAATGCGTACCAGCCGCTAAGGCTCAATATTTTAAACACACAACGACTGATCAATGTCTATTCAAGTGAAATACTCATTTTAGTCTCTTTCTGACCCTCTAATTTACCGAGGTCAAAGCCAAATGGAAAATGTGTATTCGGCGGATTATCCTTTGGCGATTATAGGAAAATGAAGAATACAAATTCTGTCTGTCAATTACAACAATGCGAAATGAACAAATGTGAGAACATTGCATCGGAGAGCGTTGCCTTCCTTCGCTCTGCGAATGGAAAATATCACTTCGCTTTTAAGTTATCTAAAATTTCAAGCATACCGTCTGAGATTTTTCAATCATTGGATGTTCGCAGCTGGTCTCAAGCGAATTTTTTTAGACGCTATTAGTTTTCAAAAGCTTTGCCGCTTTTCGCCGCACGAGAGAAAGAAATGCGATCGCAAGAACCCGACCAAAGGGAAGCAAATTAATAAAAGTTTCATTCACTATAGACATTTCAATGGAAGAATACAATTGGCACGATTACCGACAGCATCTGCTCGCCTTTTCGAAAGCGTGCTCAACGTACTTTTGTCGCCAAATCTTGTTTTACACAAAGCGAAAATTTGCATGGAACCCACATCCCATGTCAAGTCTAATTATTTCTTACATTAAACAAGCAAACACACAGCTAATATAAAAACAAAACAACGCTTTGCACTCCGAAGAACTTACCTAGGAGAATCGACCAACCTTTTGTGCCGGAATCCAGATAGTAAGCTACCTGGAAATCAAAAAAATGGAAGGCGATTTGATCAGTATGGACATTGATCGGAAAAGCAGATGTCTGCCGTTGTTGGTGGTGCAAAGAGAATTGATCGCGATTTTGCGACGCGATAAACAAAGCAATATTACTTCTTGTAACACCACTATGCTCTAAATCCTTTCAGCTAAACACACGCTCAAGGACGGAAGACCGACTTTCCGAAACAGCAATGCAGTATTTTAGGGAAAAGGTGCTGAAATATTCATGCTACCGTAATTGCATTGTAAATTGACGAACGCACAAAATCAAACAAACATTTTTCGCGATTCCTACAACGTCGTGTACAGTACTCAAAATCGGATCTCACTCACCGGACAAAATCCACAAGTATATGAGCCAAAACAGAGTTCTCCCCGATCTATTTCCCATCTCAAGGTATCTTCAAAGCTTGGCCATTATAATTACGAGCGTATAAGCAGAACAAACCCTCGTCCACCGTGCTCTCGGAAAACAAAAGATCTGCATGTGATCTTTGGAGGAGCGCGGATAGTGATTATTATGGGATTAGCGGTAGCTACTGAAAACATGTCCGATGTTGATAGACATCGGGGTCAAATTCGCCATGTCAGTCTTCCATTTATTGGCTACTTTGACAAATAAGAAGACAAAGCCCAAATTTTCCGTTCATTTACATTAAAATATTTTGTCTATTTACTCCATTAGCGCTGCCATCCATTTTATTTTCGTTTCCTGCCTTCTTTTTATCTTCTGGGTCAACATCACGAATAAAAGAACTAAAAGAAGCCTATCCAAGCCTTCAGCTCTCTTCTCCTGTTGGCATAGAAACTCTCCATCTGTCAGCGCCGTCAGAGTTTATGTCAAACACGCAAAAATTGTCGGAAAATTTCCTGACAACTTTGAAAAGAAGGGAAATTGTGATTAACGATACGTCACAAAATAATGTAAAAGAGACGATGTGTTTCGGTGCAAGCTATTCTTCTCAACGAAATTTGCTACAGGTAAAATGGGTTTGTTTTGACGAAACTTGACGATTTTTGAATGACACTTTTCGTAAAAGGCTTATTGAAAGGTGAGACAAAAAACGTTCAAAAACAAACTTTGAAGAACATTTTTTAATTAGCAGCGTGAAAAATTCCTTTTCGGCGTGGCAGAGCTAAATTTTGGAACGCCTTCGCCCGGGGTGAGAAATTGTATTGACTACTAATCGTGTTATGTTTATCTTTTCAGAACGCAAAAAGTGGGCTTTGCTATGACTCCATCTGCACTTGAGCGCTGCATTTTTGCAAACAAAAAAAAAGCGTGTTAAAAGGCTGCTTTGCATGACAACTTACTCAAGATAACGACTTTACCCTGGGGCTCTGCTCTGTGACCCTCTTTCAAGTTTCCGAAATTTGGTCTGGAGTGTATCGTTTCTTAAAACAAGTGTCGTCGCACGAACCATGCGATTGATTTCAAATTATAAATTGGCGCCTGAAAGTCTGTGTTAGGATTCTCTTCAGCTCGAGAAAATATCTTTGTACTTTTTTAAAGGAACACTCGACAAAAGAAAGTCAGGAACTTCCTGAGCCACATCCGGATAAATCACAAAAAATAACATCTCCGGCTTTAGATAATTTACGTAAACTTGTAATCTCTGAATCGAATTTTTATAACCGCCATTAAAAAGAGTTATTTCCACTCATCTCAACCTCAAATAACACAATAGTTTCACTAATGTTTATTATCATAACGTTTCATATTCTTCTTCGCCAGAACTTTAGCTTTGAAGCAAAATTCGCCAGCAAGCCAAGTCTTTCGAAAGAAACTATTTTTAAAAGGGTCGCCATCCACTTTTAACTTTTACCGCAAATTGAGTTACTCATTGTGGCCTTAATTCTTATCGCATAACGCATTGTAAGTAATGTCACACCCTATTTCTAGACCGGCTTAGACTTAAAAGACTTAAAAACCAAGTCCCCACCCCACCGCACAAAAAAACACTGTCCTGTCTAATAGATTCTTCAAGTGAAAGAGAAAAACGGGTTTGAAGATCCGAGTACTGAAACCGCCTCCCGCTAAATTTCCTAGTGCCGGGTACGCTTTTCCCAACACCATTCCTTGCAGAGCCCATATCAAATTGCAATTTCTCTTCTTCTTCATAATCATATTTAATTTTGTAATCTCTCTTCATGGAAAATAAGGTCTGACATCTCGAATTCCAAGTTTAACTTCCATTTTTTGTTCCAAAACTGCGTTACTTTCAGCTTCACTTGTTTATTTTTCCCTATCCTTGTCATATGACTTTGCAGCGACAAATTTCTCCTCGCGTATCATTAAAACATAACCCAATGTCATTAATTTTTCTGGTAGTCACTCCTTTAAAAAAAACATAATTCGTAATAACCTATAGTTCTCGTGACAAGCAATTTTCCTTGTTTTTCTTTTTTCCTCATTTCACTGTTCGTTAGCGCTTTGGAACATCAAATATTTATCTTCATGCACCTGTTCTCTGCTTATTTGCACTGGAGCATAAAAGAGGTGTCATTTTACGAGATTGACCCAAGATAATATATATTAACGGGTTAAGAAAATTCAACATTCTTCTGAAGAAGGAAAGAAAGTTCTCTGAACCGTCTGAAGCGTCTTTTAAAACTCTTTTAAGGGTGGCTAGTCAGGAGCATCCAACGGGAAATTTTGAGAAAAAGACCTAAAAACAATTCAACAACAAAGAATGAATAAAGCTCTCTGAAGACATTTTAAGCATTTTGGGAGATTGCTGGAAAAAATTTATCTGTTCCTCACTCCCAGCAAGACTGATAGAAGATTTCCCAGCCAGCAAGGTGCACCTACAATCTGCAACCTGACTTACTGGGAAGTTTCCCAGCAGACCGATGTCCAGACCAGACACTACTGGCAAATTTCAGCCCTTCAGTGGGGGAGGGGGGCCAAAATACCAAACGGCCAAAATACCAAATTTTCTCGGTCTTACAGTCAAAACTCGTCAATACGGACACTGAAAGGGCCATCGAAAGTGACCGTTTTAACGATGCGTCCGTATTAAGCGGGTCATGTTGTTAATTAAAGTAAAGGCCTCAGCTCCGGTTGACGTACGTGTTTAGCAAGCGAAGTCCTCTTCCATCACCCCCTATTTCGAAAATAAGCAAATCTTCGCTATTAAATGCTTCTCCATATATTTATCTACAAATCTTCATCTATTTATTTTTCTTCTGTCCTTTTCTTAATAATTCACGACAATAGATTTAAGTTTCCCTTTGCTTGTTGTCTATTGTTCATTACTTCTACAAATTAAAAAAACAGTATCTTCACACGACACGCCTTTTTTATCCTTAAGAATTGTTTTGTGCTGGCTGTTTTTATCTGCTCATCCCTTATTTTGTGAAATTCTGAACCTGAATATTTGACGTTTGCCTACCGTGGGTTCCAGGGTATTTTTTTCTTACCTGGAGCTTGACAAATCCCGGCAAAGCCGCGACAGCGAGGCGCAAAGCTGAGCTTTTTCAAACCCTGAGCACGGTTAATTTCATCCAAAGTATTTTGACAACGGACCTCTCGAGCGAGCCAGGGTAATGTTTGCCGTAAAAGTTACTCAAAATCTCTTATTTGGCTGATTTAGCAACCGAACGGGAACGTCATTTGACGACGGGAAAGCGGGCGGAAAGGACTAAACTCGACTTCTGGTGCCCAAATGGTGTCAAATGACGTTCCCGTCCTGTTACTAAATCAGCCTATAGATCGTTTTCACTGTCACGTAACAAAAAATTAAATTGGAAACCGTCTAGTGGAAGAAGCCAAGAAAATGAAATGTTATAAAAGACTAATATATAAACAATTTGTTCAAGTCTCTGGTCTTTGTTGCCCACAGTTTCTGAGTTATTTGCCGAAACGTTTCGCGTACCTTTGTAGAGCTTTGTATGGAGACGCCATATTGGGGCACCGTTTTGGTGCACCAATATGGCCGCCGGAAATCAACAAAACCATCTGGAGTTCACTTTTTCTATAAAAGCTCTTCTTTTCACGCGAGAACTAGCATACGTGGCGCATAAATATATCCTCTAATACCTGAAACGGTTATACTGCTGAAATTCAAGAGGAGAGACTTTTTTTCAACGAGACAGCATTCCTATTTTGGTGCCACGCACTGTGAAAGCTCGGAAGTTCAAATTGCTGTATTTTCGAAATGAAACACGCTACGGGAATGGAAACTTATACAAAGACTTATGTTTTGTTTATCTTCAACCTAGTGTGAATAAGAATTCAGTAAAACCTTGCTATTTTGACTTTACAATTTGATGACGTCACTGTGAAAACCATCTATTGTTTTCAAAAGAAAACCCAAGGGTGCACATCCCACCAGAAAGCAAGTTAACAACTCATGATTACAATAAGTAGTATGTAATTCAGATATCTGCTTTGTGATGATTACACGTCGAAAAGTCAATTCTGAGCTACATAATTATGTTCGATCAAGTCCTTCCAGTGCCTTCTCTGCTGTTGTAAAACTTTCGTCGAGGAAACTGGGCACTAAATTCAGTGTTCCTGCTAAGAACTATAAACAAGCCAACTTAACGTGAAATTAAATAGAATATGATACAGCTCTACCATGCCAATAAAAAATACCTTAACATGTTTTACAAAAGATAATGATTACAAAAAAACACGATCATACAAAGAGATTATAGACATATTCCGAGTTGCTTCAAACCTTTTTTTAAAACAAGAGTGAGTACGGTAGGAACAGTTTTGCACTTGACCTCAGTTGGAAAGCGAGGGTGCTGGAAACCACAAGAACATGGCCCATTCAAAATGCTTTACATTTATCGTGTAACTCATTTTACAATTTAAGCTCCACTATCCACACATGATTTCTCCAGTTTTATCTCCAAACATTTCACAAGGAATTAGTCGAGAGAATTTGACAAAAGATCAAAGAATATTTCTTTAGATGATTATAGTTAAATTCTTGTAACCTTTCTTTTGATGATGTGTGAATATTGAGAAGAAAATTGATTTTGATTCCTTTTAAGATCTTGAGGCTTAACGCTTATTATTCATAAGAGAAAATGTGCTAAAACAAATATATACATTACAATAATTCTGGGCTACGATTCAACTATCTTTACGGGTAAAACACGCGGAGAAACAGGACACTGTCTCTCGCGTGATTCGTGTTAAAAGATGTAATGTCGCAGTCTGCTAAAAAATTCTGGTAAACAATAGAATTGTTCTATTTTAAGTTAAAATAAAGTACACCCTGAATAAGGGTGATCTTTTAATTGCGTTTACAAGAGTTTTAAATAAATATGTTGTGGAAAAATAACCTGGGAGAATTGCTTTTTTCCCCCGGAAAAACGGTTTGGTATTCACAAAAACTATTATTGTACACAAGATATTTTCGATCCTTATTCCAT